GAGCCACCCAGGCGCCCCAAGATTTTTTATTTTTTATTTGAGAGAGAGGGAGAGCATAAGCAGGGGGAGCGGGAGCGAGAGGGAGAGGGAGAAGCAGGCTCCCTGATCCCAGGACTCTGGAATCATGACCCGGGCCGAAGGCAGCCGCTTAACCAACTGAGCCACCCAGGTGCCCCGAGAGAGAGAGAATCTTAAGCAGACTCCTCATCGAGCATGGAACCTGACTTCAGGGCTCTGTCCCAGGACCCTGATAACCCAACCTGACCCAAAATCAGGAGTCAGATGTTCAACTGACTGAGCCACCCAGGCTCCCCAGTGACTTGGTTTTTTAAAGTGGGCGTATTTCTCATATGAGTTAACCATTCCCTTATAGTGTAGTTGTTTGTCATGTACCTGAGCTGTGAATGCAGAATCACTTGTATTTCTGTGCTACCTGCACAAAAGTCATGAAGTAACCTAAGTAGTTTGTTCTACACAGTTTCTTCTTCCCTTAGCTTTCACTAGACAAAATGGTAATGGAATCCTCAGGAGGCATGGGTTCTAAAATCATCGCACTTCTGCCACTAACTAACCCTGTGACCCTAGATAAGGTTTCTTCTTTGTGCTTCATTTTCCCTCTGTCAGTTAGGGTGTTGGAAGAAAGATCTCTAAAGTTCTTCCACCTTTGGAGTCTGAAATCTTCTGTACAAGGACTTAGATAAAATTGTTAGCTTACCTACTTTTCACTTTTACGAAGTCTTTTTTTTTTTTTTCCCCCATTTTAGCCGTATAGGTGAGGGACTTGATCAGGCTCTACCCTGTCTGACAGAACTCATTCTCACCAACAATAGTCTTGTGGAACTGGTAAGTCGAATGGGGCGTGGGGGGAATGTATTTGGGGGGAGGAATTAAAGGTGTTACATGCCTCTTACAATTTAGAAAACCCAGAGAAGTATGTCCTCATGCTTTGTCTTTTTCATAATTCAAGATCTGGGCTTCTTTCAGTTAAATAGCCTTTTCCACTCTGTAGGTCATCTTTTGACAGTCTGAGGGTGTCTTGATAGAAAAGTTCCTAATTTAAGCGTAGTCCAATTTATCAGTCTTTTGTTGTTGTTGCTAGTACTTTTGATGGCCTGTCAGCCTTCCACTACAGAAAGAGTTGTTTTCTGTAAACATAAGTTGTTTTCTAGAATTGCAGTGTCCAATATGGTAGCCACAAGCAGCTACTCTGAATTGCGATGTACTAAGAACTATAAAATACATACCGGGTTTCAAAGACTTAGTACCCCCAGAAATGTAAGTTATCAATTTTTTATATTGAAATGATAATGTTTTGGATAATAGGTTAAATAATAACTACTAAAATAAGTTACACTTGTATTTTTCTTTTAATTGGCTACTAGAAAATATTCAGTTACATAATGTAACATGTTAAATTTTGTTGGACAGTTACATCCTGGAAACTTGTTTTACTCTTCACATTGAGATCAGTGATCCACTTGGAATTGGTTTTCCTGTGAGCTAAGGGGCAAGTTTTATTTTTCTGTTTGGGTGTAATTATGGTGACCTATTTCTTTTGATGCGTTTTAAGTTTCTGCTCTGTATGTATAATTTTGAACAGAATTGAGCTCATAGTATACAATGTTTTGTAACCTAAAGTTTTCACTTAAACACTGGATGTGTAAGTCTGTATTATATAACTTGATTTTGTGTTATTATGACCTTACCTCCCTTCCCTGTTTCCATGATTGTTTCTTTCCTGGTGGACTGGGTCCAGAGCTTCCTTCAGATTCTCAAAGGAGTACTTGACTCCAGAAGTAAGAAAGCACTGGTCCGAGGCCCTGTCTTTTCTAAAATATATGAGGTATTCAACCCAAAACGCACATTCATAGGAAATGTGTGGCATGATAGAAGCTGTTTGTAATTTTTTTTTTAAGATTTTACTTATTTATTTGAGAGAGAATAGTGAGAAGAGAGCACATGTGGGGGGTAGGGGGAGAGGGAGAAGCAGGCTCCCCGCTGAGCAGGGAGCCAGACATGGGGTTTGTGGGATCATGGCCTGAGCCACTCAGGTGCCCAGAGCTGTTTGTATTTTTGTGTATGTTGTAATTATATTTAAAATTGTTTGTAAAGATGAAGGCTGAGTTTGTGCTCTCAGTTACTGAAGTAGGTTCGTCAAAATCTCACATGGTAGTGGATTTGACAGTCTCCCTAGAGTTCTGTCCATTTTAGTTTTATATATTTTGAAATTCTCTTAGTTGTTATACAAGATTTTAAATTGTTAATACCTTTCTGATGAACTAACCTTTTTATTACTGTGCCGTGTCCCTCTTTATCTCTTTTAGTGCTGTTTTACCTTGTTGTCTATTTTATCTGCTATAATATGCCAAAACCACCTTTCTTTTAGTTAGTATTTGTATGATCATTTTTTTCCACCCAAAATTTACTTCCAGCTTTTCTATACCTTATATTGTAGATTAAAACAGCATATGGTAAGATTGTTTTGTTAAATACAGTGTGAAGTCTTTCTTTTAAATGAAGTATTTGGGGTCCCTGGGTGGCTCAGTTGGTTAAGCGACTGCCTTCGGCTCAGGTCATGATCCTGGAGTCCCGGGATCGAGTCCCGCATCGGGCTCCCTGCTCGGCAGGGAGTCTGCTTCTCCCTCTGACCCTCTTCCCTCTCGTGCTCTCTATCTCTCATTCTTTCTCTCAAATAAATAAATAAAATCTTTAAAAAAAATGAAGTATTTGGTCTGTTCACATTTAATTTAATTACTGGTGTATTTGAGTTTGTCTTTTTTTCTGGAGGTTATTACTGATCCATCCATTCTGCATTTCTTTTTCTCTCCTTTACTGTGTTCATTCTCTCTCTGTCTCTCTCTCTCTCTCATTCTTCTTTTCCTACTAATAGTGTAGGAATTACTTATTCCCACTCTTAGTATTCTGGGAATTAAAAATTGATACTAAAGTTTCAACTTAACCAATACCTTTAGTTTCTTTATTTTTTTTACCTTTAGTTTCTTAAACAATAGTGACTTTAAAAAAAAAACATTTCATACCTCCCAACATATTATTTATTTATTCTGTCTAAGAAACCCATCAAGTCATCATCATTATATTTTACATAGTTTGGGTGTGTCTGCGTGTGAGTTTAACAAAAGTTGCCTTTCGTTCCTTTTTGTTTTGTTTTGCAGCTTTATTGAAGTATGGGTGATAAATAAAAATTTATGTCTTTAAGGTATACAATGTGATTTTTGATAGGTGTATACATTGTGAAGTGATTACTGTTACCAGACTAATGTACCCATCACCTTACATATTTACTTTTTTGTTTGTATGGTAAGAATACTTGAGATCTATTCTCAGCAAATTTCAAGTATACAGTAGTATATTATCATTAACTACAGTCACCATGTTGTACATTAGATCTCCAGAACTTACTCATCTTATAACTGAAAGTTCATACTCTTTGATCAATAGCTCATTTTCCCTTCTCCCCCACCCCTCAGCCTCTGGTATGGTAACCACCAGTCAGCTCTGTGTTGCTGTGAGTTGGTCTTTTTTTTTTAGATTCCACATACAAGTGAGATCATGCGATGTTTGTCTTTGTCCCTTTTTAGGTCATCCTGTGTAGTTCTTTGAGTGGTGTTATGCCAGTAGCGTGCTCTAGAGCTCCCTCTGGTGGTTATTAGTGGCAGCTGCTTTTCTGAACTCCTGGCTCTGTTCCCCTTGCCTTTATCAGTACTTTTTCCTCATTGTCCCTCTTGCCCCTGTCCCGCTCAATTTCAGTCTGGTCCTAGCAGTTTCTCCTCCTTGTAGGGCATTGTCCTGGAAAGGACACCATTTGTGGTTAGTATTAAGACTGAGGGCCCAAATTGCCTGGCCCCTCGGGCCTTGCCCCAGCCTTGCTGCTCTCCTTACTGGCATGTGCCCATCTGCTGGTGGCTGCTCTCACTGCCTCTTGGTCGTTTCGGAGCACTCCGGTTTGTCCCGTGCGTCTCCGCTTTCCCTCTGCTGCGTCCTGTGCCCACGCTGGGCCCGTGTGCCTCGCACTGTCCTCACAGTGCTCTGTCCCTACGTCTTCCTGTTTCAGGCTTCCTGCCACAATGCCTTTTCATCTCTGTTAGTTCTACCTGTTGACCACAGGCTTTTGCTTTTGCTTTTGCTGTCCTTGTTGTACTATATTTTATGGGATGCTTTGGGAAGATTCAAAAACTAACCCACTCTTGTCCCATAAGTGGGTCCTTTTTTTTTATTTTTTTAACTATACTCCTTGTCCTTGACTCTGAAGCAGTTTGAGGGAGGCTTGAATAAAGGTGCCTGCCCCCAAGATGATGCGACGCCTGCGCCACCACCAGGCGCGTACAGGTATTAGCAGGGAGAACCATGTTACCCCAGGTTCCAGTTTGGGGTTCCCTGTGTGAAGAACTTGCTCTGAAGTTACAGAAACTTTGACATCTCTTTTCTAAATCATTGGTTTAAATTCTAGCCCTTTGGAGGTTGCTGCAGGAAATAAAAAAATTTTTTGTCTCTTCTGCTATTGAGACAGAAACTGTTAGGGCTAAGATTGTAAGTTTAAGAAGCTCAAATCTACTTACCAGTTTAGTCAGTAGGAATTTATTAGGCATCTGTGCTGTGCTAGTATGTGCTAGATGCTAGGGCAGTAAAAAAATATAAGAGGAGTCCTTGCTCCAAAGGCATCTGCCGTTTCAGAATCTCAAAGTAGCCTATGGTTTCCGTGTTCTTACCTGTGGCCTTTTCTTTTACAGGGTGATCTGGACCCTTTGGCATCTCTGAAATCACTGACTTACCTAAGGTATGGAAATGATTGGTGGTGGTGACAGTGAGGTCCCTTATAATAATACCATTACCAGCCTTGAATTTAAAGCAATCCGTTAGTAAGAAGGACCTTTTAAAAACAAGGAGTGAAAATATTTCCTTTAGGTCCAGTGCTCTATTAAAGCTTCCCTAATGTTAACTTAATAACACCGAAATGTGAAAAAATGTGAACTTTTCCTTAGTTTATGGACTCATCTGGTGCTATTGAAATGGACCTCTTGTGTGCTGCGCCATGAACAAGATTGGCATTATGTTATTTCTTTTCTTGTAGTATTCTGAGAAATCCTGTAACAAATAAGAAGCATTACAGACTGTACGTAATTTATAAAGTTCCGCAAGTCAGAGTACTGGATTTCCAGAAGGTGAAACTAAAAGTAAGTATGGTTCTGTTGGTTGTAAGTCGTTATAGATTCATGTGCTTTATTTTGTACCTTTGTTACTGATTTTTTTCAATTGCCTAATGAGTTTTACTATTGGTTTGTAATAAAAACGTGGGAAAGAAAATGTTAAATCATGTATTTTGCATCTCAGAGTTTATAGTAGGACTTGGGGGGGGTACACTGTCTTGTGTAGTAGTGCTGGCCGTTCAGGCAGCCTGGGATCAGAGCCACCGGGAGCACCGTCAGCAGCAGACTGTTAGATACATTCCCCCGTGGGGAGCTAATATAATCCATTTTTCAGCAGCTTTAATTGTTAGAGTGATTTTCCCTTTACTGGGAGTGTTTTTGGTTTTTCTTTCTTTCTCTTTTTAAACCTTCTTAGTTCCTCCAGAGTCCCTCCTTAAAACTAGGAGGGGGAAGTTTCTTCAGGGCGCCTCACCAGAGAAGGCAAGGCCTTTGTCTCCTTTTATTTGAAATTGGCTTTTGGTATTTTTACCAGCCCACAGTATTTCAGGAGAGTTTTCTTCCGTGTTTTCTGAGGGATGCATCTAAATGCATGTGGTATTCCTATTTCCATTAACTCTGTGTGTGGTGTTGCTGTAGGAGCGTCAGGAAGCAGAGAAAATGTTCAAGGGCAAACGGGGTGCACAACTTGCAAAGGATATTGCCAGGAGAAGCAAAACGTAAGATACGGATATCCAACTTCACTCCACTTCACCTTCAGAAACACTATCTGTCTGGCTTTTTGCCTCCTACAGAATTAAAACACCTGTGCCTAATACAGTATTGAATTTGTGTGATGATAGCCCGTGACCAACAATGGTCCACACATCACATGAGATTTCTACCAGGTTAGCAAATCCTTCCGTGTTTAGTCTTAATGCAACATTGTATACTTCCTGCCTTTTCTCTAGAGGAAGATGAGAACTGGGTGGTGTTTCTGAAGGAGAGAGTTTCTTGTATCAGTTTGTTAACAAAGATAAGATACTACACTGGTTGAATTACTTTCAAAAGCTTTTTTGAAAGTAAAAGAGAAGCAGCTTCCATTGGTCGGGGTTTAACAGTTGCATTCTTCCCTCCCCCTCCCAAGTTTCAACCCAGGTGCTGGTTTGCCAACTGACAAAAAGAAAGGCGGGCCATCTCCAGGGGATGTAGAAGCAATCAAGGTAATAATGTGTTAACTCTTGGACTGGAGACAGTTGCCATGGGTTTAGGACATGAAATATGTAATAGACCAAATTCTAAACATTGTAGCTCCCCCCCCCCCCCCCCCCCGCCGCCAGTTAGATTCCTGCTTGTATTCTGTGTAAGAAGGAACTAGCATAAAGTTATTACTTGACTTTGACTTGAATTACTTACACGAGCCAGTCAAAGCAGAGGCAGCTCTAGTTCTTTCTCATTTTCCCAGGATATGTTTTATTTTGAACAATTAGTTACCTTAGTATGCTCAGTGTTTGCCTTAGTTTTTATTTTCAAAGATTGCTGTTCGCAAGATCTGCTTGATGATCAGTGGGAAATCCTCATTTCATAATATTGCTTCCTAAATTATCCAGTAACATAGTTCCAAATAGATGCTTGAATTCACTCAAATTTTAGGACATTTGCAGTGATTGTTGGCTCTCTTGCAGAGCGGGTCCACATCCGTTTACCAGTTTTGGGAATTTATGATTCAGTCTTGGGTTGATTTCAATGTGACAATAAAATTCTTGCGCCAACAAAACTAATACTCCAGCTCACAAAGTTGCTGTGGACTTGTGTAGGGTTTTCTGGGTGGATCCTTAGATGCATTTAATGGTTTGTCTCCGTTGTTTTCCATCCTCCAGAATGCTATAGCAAATGCATCCACCCTGGCTGAAGTGGAGCGGCTGAAGGGCTTGCTGCAGTCTGGCCAGATACCTGGCAGGGAGCGCAGATCAGGTCAGGACACAGTGTTCTTGTCTGTGGGCTGCCCAGTTAATGTTACACTTGAAGTGATTCCAAAACAGTTCAGATGCCATGACCCAGGAATGTTAGCCTCTAACGTACGCGAAATCCCTTTATATGATCTTTGAGGATAAGTTATTTGATGGAGAATATTCTGGCATCGGACTCTGAGGGTTTTTTATGTAAAAGTTGAAGCATACATTATTCCCTAGCCATGCAGTGTAACCAAACACCAGAGGGAACCGTGTGGACTTTCACCCGTGTGTGTGTGGGGTGTGTGTGTGTGTGTGTGTGTGTGTGTGTGTGTGTGTGTGTGTGTTAGATTCCTTAGTAGTTGGTTAGAAACACAAGCCTCAGAGCCACACAGCATGAAGCTCAGATCTTAGCCTCACCAGCTCTGTCTTTGGGTGAATTTCTTCAGCCTCACTTAATCTTAAGTCCGTTTCCTCATCTTTAAATTTGAGATAACATATAGTACCAACCTCAAAGGGGTTTTGGGAGGATAAGTAAGAGAGTTTATAGGTAGCACTTAGCACAGTGTCTGACATGAGCATACATTTTTTGCTGAGTGTTGGCTATTCTAATATTTGAATGCCAACTTTGTGTCAGGCAGGATGTTGGGTGCTGGAGGTGTAAAGTAAAAACTACCCAAAATAATGTGTATTACGAGTTTTGATATGAATGTAATTGGGTGCTTCTACCTAGACTGGCAACTCAGGGAAAGTTCCCTTGGGCAAGTCATGTCTGAACGGAAGCTAAAAATGAGTAAGACATTAATTAGATCAGTGGTTCTCACTGTATAGCCCTTGAGCCTGTGGGCATCTGTGAGGTCAAAACTTCGCATGATAACGCTAAGGTGTTACTTGCTTTTACCACCGCTATTAACATTTGCACTGATCGCGCAAGAGTAATGGTGGGTCAAACTGCTGGGGCCTCGACACAGGTCAAGGCCATGGCCTAGAATGTATTAGCAGTCCTCATTCTAAACTGCTGTGCACTCTCTTAGTAAAATGTTTCACTTAAGATCATCCTTCACGAAGCAAAGAGATTAATGTTATTAAATGTCACCTTTTTAAGTGCATATCTTTTGATCTCCTGGGTGACAGGATGAGAGTATGCACAAACGCATGCCTAAGTTGGTGGGTTGTCTCCATGCACTTGAACATTTGTTTTATTTGAGAGGCAGGCATCTTCTCGAACATGAAGCGAACTAGTCACTTCAAAGAAAAGGTAGATCTATGGATTTTTCAAGTAAGAGAGTATGAAAAGTTCATTGATAAGGTTTCGGACTCCACATTGCAAACTAACCCTTAAGAAACTACCACTTTTGTCACGTTTTAGCATAGCATCAAACAGGAAAACCCACAAAAAGTCTACAAAGACTGTTAGAATACTCCTTCCTTTCCTAGCTGCACGTCTGTGTGAGGCTGATATTCTTCATTTCCTTCAGTGAAGACAAAGCGTGGACTGATGAAGCCAGTACCGGGGTCCAGCTGACGGCTCTTCATCAGACATGATAGAGAGAGGCAAAAATAGAAAATAATGCCAAGCTTCTCACTAAATATTTTTGTTTTGGAAAATGTTATATTTTTTTAGAAAAACGTACACGTTAACATGTAATGGAGACTTTTTTTTAATGAATTACTATTTTTTTAAAATACTTGATCTTAATGTCTAATACAGTATTGATGAATCTAACATGGTATTGATAAGTGTACATAAACAAAAGCTCTTTGGGTCCTAAAACTAAAGTGTTTGCAAATTGCTGAACTAAACAAAGGCAGAGTGACATTCTAGGGGGGAAGGGGGGACCACACAGGCAAAGCACCTGTGGCAAACGGGAGCCTTGCCCACTTGACCTGAAAGAGGCCAGTGGGAGTGAAGTTCAAGGCACAGGGAGAAGTGGTGAGATGGGCCAACAGAGGACGCATGCAGTAGGCCACACAGGGCCCTGTAGACTGATGGATGTGGTCTTATGTCCTCTCTCAGCATTAGAAACCTGTCAGAGGTTTTCTTTTCTTTCTTTTTTTTTTTTTCTTAAAGATTCTATTTATTTATTTGACAGGGAAATCACAAGTAGGCAGGCAGGCAGAGGGAGAGGGAGAAGCAGGCTCCCCGCTGAGCAGGGAGCCCGATGCGGGGGGGATCATGACCTAAGCCAAAGGCAGATGCTTAACTGACTGAGCCACCCAGGTGCCCCATGTCAAAGGTTTTCAAGGCTCAGTGGTGACAGGTGGGGGAAGAGGCTTTATCACAATGGCTTATTGTGACTGTCATATGACAGAATTACTGAGCTGATTTGTTTCCCCTGAAATGTTTTATTTGGGCCTAAGGATCTCTTGGATTTTCACTGCGATCTGGTGGTTCACTGGGAAGAGGAAGGGAGACATGGTTCAGGGTACTCCATAGATTTCAGTGGGCCGAGGCTTCTGAGTGCACTAAAACTTGACTGACATTCTCATCCTGGTAGTTTTGTATCTAGAAATCTGATGTTGGGGCTAACTGTAGAAGCAGTAGGCTTAAACAAGAATAATTTCCCCACACACTGACAGTTAAAAGATTTCCTTTTTCAGAACACATTGACCCAAATATCTGTCATAAGTTGATGAACAAATGTAATACTTTTGGTTGTTGCCATGGTTTCTCTAATTTAGACACAATAAGTCAGTGAGTATTCCCATTAACTGGCATGTAGTAGGTATCCAGATGTCTTTTGAGTATTCCCATTTTCTTTGCCTACGGTAGCGGTAAGAACAAAACACAAAGCATAAGCTTTTTACCGTCACAACAAAGGGAATTATCAGTGCAGCCAAAATGGGTTATTTGAATGTCATACAGTGAGTTTGACTTTTATAAAACACCTTTGTGACCCTTTGCCTAGGAATTGACCATCCCTTCCGATACTTGCCAAAGAGGTGGTCTCTGGACGCTAAGCTCCTGTGGTTGGGTTTGTACCTAGTCCAGGAACTAGCATGCAGTAGCTTCACAGAATGGCCACTCGCATCCAGAGGAGCCCGTGCTCTGAACTGAGTATGACATCTGGCTTTGTGTTCTTCTTTAGGCCCCAATGATGATGGTGAAGAGGAGATGGAAGAAGACACGGTCACAAATGGGTCCTGAGCAATGTGGCCTGAGTATCTGCAGGATGTATGATACGCCTCCTTGGGACAAGTCCTGCTTTTTGAACTTGGAATAATAGCCTTGTTTGGGTCAGCTAAGTGGAGTTCATAAGCATTGTTGAAAGGCTTAAGACTGCTGCTGGTAATTTTGTAATATTACTAATTTTGAAACCTAAATGCCAGTTTTCTACAAATAGTAAAAACACGACATTCACTGTGCTGCCACGTTGTCTGTCATGGGGCGGGGCGGGGGGTGCGCAGCGCAGTGAGGTATACGGACATGTGGAAGTTGGAAATGCCCGAGGGCAGTGTTTCTAGGTAGGCTTCCCAGGCCTCTATAAAATGTTTAGATTTTTAAATTCTTAATAAAACTCAAGATTATCTGCGTGCTGCCAGTGGTTGTTGGTAAGACTCTGCAATCTGGTGCATTTTTCCCCCATATAAAGAATAACAACAGCTTCATTAAAGGCAGGTAGGCTTTAATTACTGATTTGAAAAATTGTAGGGGAATGCAACTCCTGCTTGTTGGAATCTGAGCAGAGGGCCAGCACGTTCCAGCATTTAAGACATGGTTGGGGGCGGGGGGGGGGGAGGTGGTTTTGCCCAGTGAGCAGGCTACGGCAATGTCCTCTCACGGCTTCTGGATGCTTCGTTGCATTTATCACACCCTTTTATGGCCAATTTATAGGCTAATCATAAAAACAATGTGGTGGAGGTGAGCAACTTCACCATCCCATCTTTTCATCTGCTGGTGTTAGTCTGGGTTGTTTTCTTTTTAAACAAAATGTGAGAAACTCTCTTGTCAGTAGACCCCTGAACAATTGTGGGTGATTGCTGCTGGGCCGATTTGTCCTTCTTGTAAAGTGTGCACAAGATGCGTAAGCCATGAAGGACCTCGACCTTCAAGGAGCTGGCAGTCTAGCTGGGAAGATGGAACCGTGGGCAACAGTGGTGCTAAACCTCCATGCAGTAGAAGAGAGGGCAGAGCGTTCAGAAAGGGCATGGAACTTGGGTATCAGGAGAACTTGGCCTGCAGATTTCCTCAGTATGACCCTAAACCAGTGCTCTCCAACCCCAGTGTGCTATGAATTTCCAGGGCACCTTGTTCAAATGCAAGATCCTGTGGGGGCTGGTGCAGTCCCTGAGAAGACAGGTCTCCTCAAGATTTCCAGACTGCCCTCACCACCTTCCTCAGTGTCTACTTGACACCTTTCAACTCCCTCAAGGACAGATCCCTGTGGTCCATTCACTGATGGCCCAAACCAGGGTGCGTTGCTCTGCTGTTTTACCCTCACTTGGACAGATGGGGAGGTTGATGTTTTGTTTTGTTTTGTTTTTAAAGATTTTATTTATTCATTTGAGACAGAGAGAGAGAGAGAGAAAGCATGAGCAGGGAGAGAGGCAGAGGGAGAGGGAGAAGCAGGCTCCTCGTTGAGCCAGGAGCCTGATGTGGGGCTTGATCCCAGGACCCTGGGATCGTGACCTGAGCCGAAGGCAGATGCTGAACCATCTGAGCCACCCAGGCGCCCCGAGGTTGATGTTTTTTAATGATTTCCTGGAACATTTAGGCACCCAGGAACTAACCCAAATAGACAATAGATGGATTTATAAACTAGAAGTCAATTTAATTTGCGAGGAAGATAACTCTGCAGTTGATGCTCTGCTGTCCCCCCTCACCAAGGTGTTAGTAAATGTACATGGAATCAGAACAGAAGGCCTTGGGGGTGGGGGTGGGGTGGTCTTAGAGATCTTCCTGGGCTGGATTAGAATTTAGCTTCGACAACATCTTTCATGACAGAAGCCATGAGTCGGCCTTTTCTGCTTGTCAGGACAACTAAAATGAGTCCACAGTTTCCTCCACGCTTAGGATCCAGGGAGGCTATTGCCACCCTAGTCAGGAGGCTCCCTGCTGCCATCATTTACGAGCTACCGCTTAAGGGGACTCTGAATGAGCCTCTGGTCATTACCCTCAGTGATAACCATTTGGTTGCAGTTCATTTCCCTCCAGTCACGTTCCCTACCTCCAGCTTACTTCGGGTCCTGGCTTTGACTGTGGGCAATCCTTAGCAATAACACAAGACCTGAGTGGATCTGGCCTAAACGGGATTACTTTGGCACCAGTTTAATGACTCATGGTTAAGGATTTGAGGGCTGCTGAGAAAAAACAAAAGGAGACCTTTGCTCCAGTATTTATGCTATTGTCCCAACGGAGGCTTTTGCAAAAATTGACAAGATGAATGCGAGAGCTCCTTTGCTCAGAGCTCCACTAATATCTGTGTGTCTCAGGACCTGAAAAATGGGGATTGCCTCAACCCAGTTTTTCCCAGAAGCCCCATGGTTTCAATGTGCAGTTTTGTAGAACATGAGGTTCAGTCAAAGATGACAGCTTCTATCATGTTATAGTAGAAACTGGTACCGGCGGCACAGTCATGGCAACACTCAAAAGAACTTTATTTCTGTGGAACTACATTAAGATGTTGATTTGGGGCGCCTGGGTGGCTCAGCTGGTTAAGGGGCTGCCTTTGGCTCAGGTCATGATCCCAGGGTCCTGGGATCGAGTCCCGCATCGGGGGTCCCTGCTCAGTGGGGAGCCTGCTTCTCCCTCTCCCTCTGCCTGCCTCTCTGCCTACTTGTTCTCTCTCTCTCTATGTCAAATAAATAAAATCTTTAAAAAAAAGTGTTGATTTGAATATTAATAGCTTTGTAATACTGGTTAAGGGTAGTTGGAAGAAAGGTAGGCTGGGGCAAGGTGCTCCCCCCACACCCAAGAGGAAACCACCCTTAGAAGGATTTTGCACCACCCTGGAAGGAGCCCTCCACCCCTTCCCACGTGACAGATGACAAAACCTGATTGGATGACAGGCACAGGGAGGGTTAATCATTAAAACAGCCTTCCAACAAAGCCCATAAAAACCCCTAGACTTGGAAAAGTGGATGGCAACCCTCCGGGATCCCCTACCTCTTTGGGAGTTTTGTACTATCACTTTATCACTCAATAAACTTTGTTGTTGCCCACCACTCTTGATCTTGTCTACCTCTTCATTCTTTGGAATGGTGTGAACAAGAACTGGGGCACTGAAGAAGGAAATCCTGTAACAGCATTTGTAATTAGTAGGTTTTGAGATTCTAAGAACTATAAATTTAGGAAATGTATGTAGTTATATCTATATATATATTTACATATGTAGATATTTAACATAATTTAAATGCCACAGTAGGGGGCGCCTGGGTGGCTCAGTAGGTTAAACATCTGCTTTAAGCTCAGGTCATGATCCCAGGGTCCTGGGATCAAGTCCCGTGTCAGGCTCCCTGCTCAGCGGGGAGTTTGCTTCTCCCTCTGCCCCTTCCCCCCCAAATAAAATCTTTAAATGCCACAATAGGAATCTACAAGAATGTCACTGAAAGGGCCAGTCAAGTTTGAGAAACACTACTGTTTGATTGCCATCTCTGTAATCTCCCTTAGCCAAGAACACCCTTTAATCCTGTCTTGTTCCAGATACTTTTGTGAAAAGGTGAGGTTAGGCAATTTACCAGTTAGCTCTCGCCACAATAATGCGGCATAACAAACCACTCCAAAACTCAGGCTTTTAAGTGACAACCGCCATTTATTCTCACAGCTGGCTCTGCTTTTCATTGCAGGTCTATGGGCTAACTAGGGTGCCTCAGCTTTGCATATCATTCTTGGGCAAGTCAGTCAAATGGGCAATGGCACAAGGCGGAAACGCTAGAGGCTTCTTAAGACCTACGTTCAAAACTGCCTCACTGTTACATCTGCCTACTTGTCATTAACCTAAGCAAGCCACCCAGCCAAGTCCAAAGCCAAAGGATGGTCAAATAATGCTCCTTCCACCTGGAGGCTATTGCGAGGACACGGCTGTAAGAAGGAATGATGAATTGGGGCTGGTCATTTAGTCGACCGTGGTCCGTGACTGGTTGGGAGATCTTTGTCCTGTTTTTGCAAATAAGCCCTGAGCAGTTAAATCGAACAAAGTGTGTGCTGAAATAACTTTATGGTTCTAGATAAGCTAGGTGAGATGATAACACCCTGATTAAAGGGACAAAGGTAACGCATAAGCCTGGCTAGGGAGAATAACTTCTATCAGTGGGAACTTAAGAACAGCATGGTGCTAGGAACTGATGCAAAACCCCTTCATCCTTGCGTCGTAGTAATTCAAAATCTGTTAGATTTTTTTTTTTTTTAAGATTTTATTTATTTATTTGACAGAGACAGCGAGAGCAGGAACACAAGCAGGGGGAGTGGGAGAGGGAGAAGCAGGCTTCCCACGGAGCAGGGAGCCCGATGCGGGGCTCCACCCCAGGACCCTGAGACCATGACCTGAGCCGAAGGCAGACGCTTAACGACTGAGCCACCCAGGCGCCCAAAATCTGTTAGATTTTAGGTGAATATACTATTCATCACACTGTGAATACATATGTAAACAGAGACACTAGTTGATAATAGTATGCAAAGGTACTTTATTCTTGGTGTTTAAAAATATGCATTATTTTCATTACTGTTGTGCTGGTTTCTATTTTATATCACAAAGTCCTGAGTGACAGGAATTATTCACTATTTTTGTTTAAATGATAGAAACTGAATGTTAAATTTATTCCATCTTCATGCCTGCAGACACTGCAGGGCAGGGTGGGTAAACAAGGCAAATAAGGCAGACTCTACTCCCCCATTTTACCAGATCCAACATTTTGGCATTTTTATGATATGCAGGTTGACTCAATTCATTGACTTGGTTTGAAAGCTGGCAAAACAGTAAGGTAGCATCTCTGCGAGGTAGGATCTTCCTCCATAGCTACTCCAAATATCCTAATTCCTGAGCTACACTGGGAGCTCTGAAATGATGTTCACCGCAACATTCTTGAAACTTTCACATCTTAAACTGACACCTTTTGTCAGGGTAGGGAACTATCTGTTAAAAACCTTCTTAGCCAACCCAAGCCACCAGCAATCTTAACCACTAAGTTACTGTAAGAAAATGAACTTACCAAGCATTAATTGAAACTTGTGCCATATCCCTTTTCAGGATATTAACGCTCTGAAGAGAAAAGAGAGGTCCTCACCAACCGCTTCCATGAGCAGTGACTCCTACTGTATAGTGTACCTAATGTCCAGAGCATAACCAAACAAGATGGGCAACGCCCATCTCTTGACTCGGTTATCACTACTTATACACAAGGTATATTTAAAGCTGATCCCAAATCAAGTATTGCAGCCATAATCCCAAGAAATAGTTCAGTTTTAGCACATCGAGTTCCTGCAAGATGCCAGATGGAGGGAGAAACCACTTCAAAACAAAGAGTGATGGTTCATCACCTTTTACAAGCGAGAGGAAAACATCAAGGAGGGCATAACATTTCTCCCTCCTAAA